AATGAATGAACGAGATTCCTCAAAGACTAGACAGCTCCTTGCAGATGCAGGGAACAAATGACTAGACTTGGGACAGGCAGGAAGGCCCTGAAGAAATGTCACCCAGACAATGGAATTGTTCAAATATACAGTGTGGGTTCAGTATTCTTTTATTTGATCTGAGAGATTGGAAGAGCCAGGGAATATTTGAGACTGATTTATTGTAAGATACTTAGCAAACTAAGTAAATGAGGATCAGGTGAGCTGGTCATGAAATCCAGTGGGGGATAAGAGTAAGAAGAGAAAACGTAGTTACAGAGTGCTATATTGTTCAGCTGTGAATCAAGCTCTAAAGCGAACTGCTCCTGAAATAATCGGAGAATGATAGAGCGATAGGAAGTGTGCCTTGTTTGGTGGAGGAAGCTCTGAAAGAAAGCTGTATCACTTAACAGTAGAAATTTAGAGATACTGCTGACAAATGAGAAGGTAAGGGATAGTCTCAGTCATCGGATACTGTAATAATATTATTATTAATATGTATGCAAATAAATATCTGAAGTAGCTAGATTTTTTTCAGTGAGAGTTGCATAGCTATTTATGTATAAATAGAAACCCTGAAGTTTTGATACCACACCAACCCCAATGGACCCTCTTGTACACACATTCCTTTGGGGACTACCTGCTTAGCACCCAAAATGAGAAATTTACTTGCCCCTGAAATCTGACATCACTGCCGCGAGGTGGCAGTAGTGAGTTATATCTGGGCTTACAGGATTTTGGTTCTGGAATGTCAGCAGGGTGATTCTGTCAAAAGTTTCTGCATTTGGCAATGGCCTCGTCAGAATGTTTTCATTTATTTGGATAATGTGGAAATGGAATCATACACATGAAGTCTTAGACTAAGTTGGAATAATTCATGTCTGACAGACTTAGGATTCCATACCAAGCCCATTCTTTTGGATTTGGGTTAAGGCAATAGGAAATGCAATGATATGTCATCTCAGACATAGTTTTAAAAATCCCTTAAGTAACCTATCTGCTGACAGGCAAGCTAGTACTGGGAAAACCCACTGAGAGGGAACTCAGATAAAGTTATATTGTGTTTGAGATTCATTTTCCTCTTATGAATAACCTGACTTTGAACCAAATGACCTGTAATTATCACTCTGCTGTCACAGTCTATAACTCTTTTATATTGCCTTGTCATTAACATTGAGTCTTTAAAATAGATCAAAAAGGAAGCACAAACACCCATGTGGGGGTTTCAGAAAGTGGGTGGAGACATGGCAATAAAAGGTAACAGAACATTCCCAGGGACTTTTTTCAAAAGTTCCTCTGATAGTCTCATGATAGCCATGTGTTAGTATGTTGAAAGATTTCATTTCTGCCCTACTTCTAGAACTATATGTGCATGCTTTTATTTGAAAATCACATACTTCTGGATGGTTCATTTCCTGTCTCTCCATGGAACAGCATTTTCTCATGCCATAGCATATACATCACCGTGACCTTTGTGTATGTACCACCTGGAATTTTCTCTGGATCCTGATTCCCTAAGACTTCCAGTTTAGACCCTTTGCTCTTCCTCCATTTGTTTTCTTGGGAACTATTTTTGTCTCCCAAACTCTTAGAAGACAGCACACACACGCAGAATGCACACAAGACATTTTTCTTCTCTTTATGAAGAAGTGTAGTCGTGATACGTGCTAAAGCATGTGCTTTTGTTCTTATTTTCTGCCCAAACGATTTAAGTTCCTCCCGTGCTTTGGGTCAAGCTTCTTCACCTCAGGTTATCATTGCTCTCTGGGCAGAAGTCTAAACTACTGGAACTCCCCTGGTCTCTTGTAGCAGCAGTTCTTCCCCGGCTTTCTGAAGACAGCTTTCGCTGTATGCTTTTGCTCTGTGTCTGCTAGGACGGTCCCTCTGGTCCTCAATATTTATCCTTCATGTCAGACTCATCCCTTCCACAAGTTCAACCCAGCAGTCCATGCTTCAGTGCATTGTCGGATATAAAATACTCAACAGATAAGGTTTGCAAAAGGATGTCATGTTTGAGCTGTTTCGAAGGATGAGTAGCAGATAGACAGGTAAAGGGAGGAACCGAGTTCTTGGCAGAGAAAGCTGCATGAGCAGACTCTGGCTGTGGAGGCGAGTAGAGCAGCGTGCCACTTGTGAGACTGCTTCAGGAGCTGACATGATAGAAGTAGACCAGGGTGATGACGTCATGAAAATTCCTGGGTATTGCACGAAAGAACCTGAAATTGATAAGATTCCTACAAAAATAACAACAGAAATTACTTGGTAGGCTTCGTCTTTACGAGCTGGATTCTCAAATAGTGCATCGCCCATCTCGCCTCCAGCACACCTTCGCTTACATAATCAGATGCATTCATGTTACCACCCACTGTAGGATATAAACTTACTCTGAATTTTGGAACTTATTTTATTTTAGTTGTTATTGGTATTATACACAGCAGAAACACGTCACTTTACCGTGCCATTTCCTCATGTACAATTGATTACATTCTCTGAGTTGCATAACCGGCTCATCCTTTTTCTCTGAGTTGTTGCCTTAACATTAACTCACTGCCCCCTCTAAGGTATCTGTGGTAGTTACATAGTCTGGTGTCAATTTCAGGTGCAGGGGTGAAGGCTAGCCTGTCAATCAGGTCATAGCCAATAAGGCCTTTGTGTGGGCATGGCATTCTCCTGAGGGTTGTGGGAACTCCTGGATTTCCTCCTTGGAGCCAGGAGACACACTCTCTCTGCGGCTCACTCCCTGCAAGACATCCCTGTGGAGAAGACATGTGGAGAGGGGCCAATGGAGCCAGACCTCTGTACCTGGAGAAGTCACGTGGAGACCCCTGTCACTGTCAGCGCTGAGATGCTTGCAGCACCCTGGATCCACAAGACTTCCCACCCATTGGCCTGTGAACTTCCTGCATTTGGCGTCATTGTATGTGTTTCGTGAGTCTGAAAAAGACTTTATAGATTGGTATTGGACATATGGGCTAATATGGGACTTATGGACTTGATCAGGACTGGGCTGGGATGTTTCTCAATATTTAATTGCTCTTGTATATAAAGCTCCTTCTTATACACATATGAACATTCATGAATGTGTTTCTCTGGTCTTCCCAGACTAACACGGTACTTACCTAATCATTGGAGTTGACGTTCCCATTTTGATCCTGGACAGACAGATTTTCAACAGCTCAGTGCTCAAACAGACATTCTTTACGACTTAAGTTAAACTATGGTTTGGTTTCGAGGCGACTTTAGGGGGTGTTTTTGTTTAAGGTTTAAAATTACCTCGGGGCAGTAGTTCATGCAGCTTCCATTGCTCCAGGAAGTCTGGATTCTGAGAGAATTTGAAATTCAATTCTACACTTCTCCCTTTGGATCAGAATTCTTCTGTAGGATCTTTTATTAAAGCATTAATTTTAATGCTTCCATGAATCATGTGTGATAATTTCATAAACATGAATCTATGTGCAGTAAGATTAGTATACATTTTAAAGTTCCTAAAGACATAGAGAAAAATGATCTGCAGAACCTATGATAGTTAAATCATGGTAAATGTGTTACAATTTATATATATATATATTTGTTTATATCTGAAAATGCATTCCAATCATTGCTTACATTCATATGCATGGATGTTTTTGCAGGTATATTTTTTATGAAACTTCTTTTTCATTTGTATGTTAAAAAATTTGAGTGTATCCATGAGAAACTATATATCTCATAATTGTCAGTTTCCACTTGTATCATTCATGTCATCATGTCCAACCTATATATTCTGACTTGTACTTAAAAGTATTTTCCGTAAACTTTACAAAGTATATTTCATGAACTAAACCCATTTGAAAGAGCTTTTTAAGTATGTTTCAAAATAATTTTATTTATATACCATTTTGTGACGTTATTAACAGAAATGAATGATGCATATGCAAAATAAAATTATTTCTATGTAGAAAACATAAGGCAAAGGAGACATTTGTAAATGATTCTGTGTGAAGAGTAGATACTTCTTTGGGCTGGCCTTTAGAAAGTAAAAGATAAAGTCCCATCCATGTAGCTGATCTCTACCATGCTAAATGCCATTCCTAGAGCCATGATTGTGTTTAGTAAGTAATAATCTATTTCTTGTCATCCTTTTTCAAAAAGATCTCTTGGTGCCAATGTCACAAACGATTTGCTTATGGGTATGGAACAGAACCTCTGTTTGGTTTGTTCATTTCTAAATGAAATGCATTTTTAATAAAAGACTTCCAGTGTGCAGAATATGTCTAGAAGAGAGAAGAATTGATACAAGACCTGTAAGACGACTATTACCGTAACCCAGAGATACAGGCGACATGCTCGAATGTCTGCAGTGGTGATGGAGACATCTGAAGAGCACTCGGTCGTAATTAATTAAGGAAAGTTGACAGGATTTGGGGAAGGAGGAAAAGGCCAATTTCAAAGGAAACAAGCGTCACGTAATAGTAGCTAGAAATATAAGCTCTTCAGTAAGATTTCATGGTTTGAAAGTTCAAAGCTGCTCCATGATCTTGGGGAATTCACAAACCACTCAGGGCGTTCTGTTTTCATCTAGCAAATGAAGGTAATACTTGTGCTTCAAGAATCGAGTGACTTTAACTTTTCAATATGATTTTAATTTAGAAGAAGTTTACTATATACTAACCTCTGTAAATGTTTGTTCTTGTGGCAAAGGTGAATGAATTCGTATATAAAGATGATCCTCAAGAAGTTGGGAAAAGGAAATATGAATTTGGTTTGCAACATTTTGAGTTGAAGTTTTATTTAAGATTTATTCAATTTGTGTCAAACAGGCCATTGGATATATGGATCCAGAAAGAGATCTGGCCTGGAGATTATCGGATATATCATTGAACATTAAATCAATTGAATATATGTGAGATTTTCTAAAGTGAAATGATGGAAAGATGCGTGCTCTTAAGGCTTGCTATGACCGGAATGGAACTGTTCTAATTGTCCAATTTCTTATGTCACAGACCTCAATTACAACAACCAAATATAGAACAAGGAAAAACCACATGATGTGCAAACTTATGTGCTTGTGCATTGCGTATTCTTCTACTATCGGTGGTCTGACCACGATCACTGGCACCTCCACCAACTTGATCTTCGCCGAGCATTTCAATACGTAAGTAAAGTTTTGGGTTGTTGATTTAGCAACCATATAGCACACCACTTACAGTGATTACTTTTATCTGCTACAGAGAATCCAAGGATAGAGAGGCCATGTTGATTTAACACTTCTCGGCTTCCTGTTAGGACATCTACAGGTCAAGGGACTTTCTCTTCTAAGAAATATAGGACATAGTAACGTATGAGCCAGTTTAGAGAGGTAATTGATGACAAGCCACTAACGCAAACAGGAAAGATATTGTTCAGTGCAACTAATATTATAAATGGTGGTTAGCTAAAGTGAAATGGATAATTAACATGGGGCCCAATATGTAATATTTTTGGGGTGGCATTTGAATTTTGAAGAATGATGAACCTAGATAAAGATTACAGAAGGTTTGGAGATGAAATTCAAAACGACTCAATTTTTCAATTTGTGAAACAGTCACAGTTCGTAGAGTGCGAAAATTAAACGGAGTAATTATGTTAAAGTGGTTGACATGCCGTAGGAACTACTGAAGCAATAGTTTGATAGTGTGCACTTTTACAAATTTAGAGTCAAAGTCTAGTTTCAAGTTCTAATCCGCCTACCGCCATAGAATCAATTCCTGCTGATAGCAATCCTATAGGACAGAGTAAAACCAGTCTCAGGTAGCACTATAAATCTTGATGGGAGGACGTAGGCTTCTCCCCTCCTCTGGAGTGTGACGTGCTATTAGGACAGACAAGTGTCAGACTTCCAAGAAGACAGACATGGTGAGGAAGGACTGGAAGAGCACATGTCTTTTTCACACAGCATTCATAAAACAGAAAGAAGAAAGCTACATTTAGGAAGCAGATTCAGAGTCTGTGAACTTTATGAAATGATTTGCAAAATTCTGTGCATGGATAGCTTCTTTAAGAACTCCAAGACTCATAGAACACTTGTTTCTGTTCCAGAGAAAATGGGAACTTGTGTTTGCAGTGGAACACTGATATATGAGTTTGAGAACAGTACTGCCCATGCTCCCATGTGCTCATTATTTCTGTGAATATCTATCTATCTATCTATATCTATATATGTAGATATATAGATATATGTATGTGTGTGTGTGTGTGTGTGTGTGTGTATACCTGCCCCTTTTTACACCCAACAACCCACTTAGAAACTCCGGGAAACATCTAGTCTATAAATTAGGAATTTCTGAAATCCCTTAACTCAAGACAAGAAATGCATTTTGATCCTTTCTGAAACTTAGTCTTCTATTTTTTCCCCATGAATTCTCCAGGGCACAAGAGTTCATATCTTAGCCCTTTTCTGTAAATCTCTGTTTCTGACATTTATATAGAATGCTTATTATTTTATCTTTGTTGGATTTTGAGCACTATTGTTTTCCACCAACTCCATGTAATCTCTGGTTGCAGTTTGAGTAATCCCTATTGGTCTTTTTCTTTCCTGCACAAGCCTTAATCCACACGTAATGCCAGGTCGGGAGCATTGCAGCACTTTGAGAAAAATGGTTTGGTAACCATTTTCTCTAATTATCTAATCATCTATTTTCTACTGAAAGGGGAAGGCCCCTTTAATTCAGGAAATGCTTAAAATGTATTTTGAAATTTATTGATGCATTTTTCTTTTACATTTTGTTTTACAAAATGTTTCTTTGACATTAGAAATATATGCAAACTGGAAACCCATTCAAAGAAGATTCGCCTTTTAGTGGAAAACTTTTAGTGGAATAGAAGGGGGAAAAATCTCACGTAAAAATGTATTTGATATTGCTAAATAACCTAGATTTTTAATAAGTGTTTCTTTAGATGTCCACTGTGTAAATCTATTAACCTCGATATTTAGTATTTCCTTAGATTTTTATCTTAAAAAATACATCTTGAGACAATAATGGAGCCGAACACATTCCATTTCATTTGAAAGGGTTTCATTCAGTTGCTTAAAATTACATAGATAAACAGAGACTAATTCATTGATTGATTTATATTTTTGTCCAGATGGTTGGAGTTCTAACATAATCGCCCTTTATTCCCAAATCTGCTACAAGAATGCCACTTTTTCTTTTGACATTGCTATTTTATTTTTGAGTGACAACAATGATCAATTTGCAGGTTGTCCTTTTAGGGTCTCTCCCAGCTCCAAAGGAGGTATGAAACCCGCAAATCAATATCCTTCTACCACTGGGGCATGGTGAAAGATGCCAGATTGCAACTGCAAATGAACTACAGAAAAGAAAACTCTGAGATTATACATATGTATGTATCTACATATACATTGATCATATGCGTATACATACTTGTATATATTCTTTTGTTCTCCTTTTTACCCAAGGATAATTCAAACAGTCTCTGTATCCAGTGGAAATATGAGGAGATCTTCATTTATACATTTAGTTGATCAACAAACACCCGTTGAGAGCTGACATGTTTCAAGCTATTGTTTTGAATTCTATTTGAATATGTGAAAAATAAGATCTGTTAGGAATTAGATTCCATCCAGTTTTCTAAATAAAACATAAATATATTAAAACAATGAAAAACTCACAGATTCTTGGGTTATTTACTCTCAGATTGAATATATTGATGAAAGGATGCAACCTGACACATACCCATCAGGTTTTGGAATGACAGAATCCCTTGTTCTGCATGAGTGACTGCAGTAAGTCTATGTACAGAAACCATATGAGTACAATGAATTCCCATTGTCTGCCATGTTATGAGTAACGTATTCAGATCCACACATTCAAATGTCTTTGCACAGTCAATGAAACAGCAGTAGAAATCCTTCTAGTATTCTCTGCTTCCAACCAAGATCATCTGATATCACTAATAATATCCCTTGTTCAAGTTCTCTTAAGAATCCAGCTTGAATTTCTGGCAAGCCCCTGTTGATGTACTGCTGAAACAATATTTTCAATTATGGAGGGGCTTAAAAAAGTTCATCGATATTTCCCATTATCTATCATTTCTATTTTCCCAGGATTAAAAAAAAATATATCCCTCATATCTTCAGCAAAATTTGTATGGAATTTTAATCACATTTGTTCAAAAATTTCTATATTCTAATGCATTACCTTTCTTTAGTGTGGGCATGTATTTGGATCTCTTCCAACTGGTTGTCCAGGTCCTCGTCTTCCAAATTTCTTGGCAGACACAAGCAAGCGCCTGAAGGGCGGCATCCCTTTGTTGAAATCAGTCAAGTAACGGTCTATCGATTCGTGGCGCCTTCCTTCACACAGTACCTTCAGTTCACTTTAGACGACTATTGGGTCTTGATCTTAGACTATCTCCTGAAATATGTGAACATCAACCAATTCTTTTGGGTACAGTGAGTCTGTGTATTCCTTCTATCTTCTTTTGATGCTTCCTGTTTCATATTGGACAGAATATTTTGTTCAACATAGAATCTTTCAATTTCGCAATTCAAGGCTTGAATATTTTCTTCCATTTTTTTTAGCTTCAAAACTGCTGAGCACATTCTTCCCTTCTGGTTTTCTAAGTCCGAGTCATAGGGCATTGTATTGTAAGACTTTGTCTCCTTGAGTCACGCTAGGAGCTTTTCTGGTCAGCTCTGTGACTTCATCCTTTCTCCCTTCCAAGTGAGCTGCTTTATGTTCAAGAGCAAGCTTCAGTGTCTTCTGACATCCATATTGGCCTTTTCTTTCTTTTCAATGATCTTTTGCTGTCTTCATGTGTTATTCTTGATAATCATCCCACAACTCATTAGGTTTTCTGCCATTAAGTTTAGGTGTGTGTAATATGTTCTTAAACCAGCAGTTACTCACTAACCTTAACGCTGATCATGAAGACAGGTACGCAGAGCCCCATAATTCTTTCCACTGCAGCCTCAATACCTCACTGGGGTGTGACCATTTGTTAGGGCTCTATTTTGAAAAAGTTCTGTGAAGAAAATTTGCTGGAGTAACAAAAACGACATGGGTATCCACACCCATTGTTGTATTTTCATTTTATAAAACATGAACATGTTCACCTAATTGATTGTCTTTAAAACAATTGCAAAGTTGGGTATGTGGCTAGTCAGATTGAACCTGTCCCTTGCTGTTAATCTCATAAACTGATGTATCATTTACAACATTAAATTTCAGAATAAGACACTGGGTGAATGTGTGGATTGTGATAAGAGATGTAAGAGCCCCCAATACAAGTATTTAATTTTTAAAAATCCATAAATACAAAGGGAGATAATTCGAGCCCAGAACAGGACTTATTGCATAACCAGTCTCAAATAGGCAAGAAATTCACTGATGCAGAAAATGCAATTTAAGACATGTTGAGGTTTTGTAAAATTAAATCATAACCCCCAAATGATTATTTGTATTGCTAAATATTAAATTGTTTTGTTCAAAAACTGTAATCAAGTGTAAATTCGCATTAAACACCCACATGAGGTCTTTCAACAAATTAAGAAAAAATAATAAGTTTCTAGCATCATAGGCCTTGAAGAGTTAATTATTCGAGGAACATTAATTTTACACACAAGGAGACTTCTAGGATATAGTTGCTTTTCTATTAAAATAGACTTCAAATTTTAATACACTAAATTCTACTTATAATAAAATTCAAATAATGAAATGAAATTTAGAGGAAAAACTCAAGATTACGTAACCTGGCTTAAATGGTGTTTTCTTATTCATAATGTGTTAATAATGGCTGTTTCCTCAACAGTAACAATTTGGTTATGAAAGTATAATTTTATTTGTTTGCTTTTCTAAAATAAACTTGCTAACCTGGAAATTAAAAAAAAAAAGATTCAGAATAAGAATTTAAAAACTGAGCCAACCATCTAACTCAGACATATAAAGTCCGAAATATTTCTTATAGTCTTAATCTTAGAATCTGATATTTGTAACACCTAAATTCTGAAAATTCCCCTCTGTACTCCTATAATTTTCCCTTAGCCTTGAATGGTCCTCTGAGCAGGCTATTCTGGAAATATATGTTTTGTTCCATCACTTCTGCATGCAATCTTCAATTCATTAGGATATATTTTTGTCTCCTCTACTTGGT